AACTTTTTGAAGATGCCCTGGTGGCACACTAATATACAAAGGGGCTTTCTAGCTTTGTTCTCCATCCATAGAGAAAGCATTGTGAGATGCAAGGAGAAAGCTGAGGTTCTTCCTCTTTGCCGAAGAGGCATTGTGGGAAATATTTCTGAACCATCACCCAACGCAGTGAGAGGATGGAATGCATGGTGAGTGAGTAGCACTGGAGAAACCTTTGAATTATTGAATGGGCTTGTCTATTGCAGATAACTAGAGTTGTAGTCTCTAGAATCTAGAATTAGGTGACTTCAAAAGTTCTTTTCAGCTGGTGTATCATGACTTATATATGTGATACATTTTACCAGCTGACAAAGCTTTAGGAGCCACCTAATTTGGTAGCTGCCTTTAAGAGATAAGGGTATGGAGACAGAGAGGCTAATATGTCAGCTGAGGAATAGTGAGGGACCAAGTTGGTATGGAAAACCCTTGGATTCCAGGGATTTTTAGTTCTACACTAGACTGCTATGTGCAAGGAAGGGTTGTTGGATGTGAACCAGCGCTTTCTCCCATACATCTGGCCTCAGTGGACTTTGGGTAGTTATTCTGTAATGGTTTCAGCTAAAACTCAAACCTTGTGCTCTCCTCTTAGGTTAGTATTCAGTAGGCGGTTAGGCCTTTTTGAAATGTGATAGAGGCATGTTGATAATATTCTACTGATAGAGAAAATGTAAGGTGGTCTGTGTAGCAGAGAGGCAGTGCTGATTGACTTCTGCAAGAGTTTATAGACACACACCCAATACTTGTGTAATCTTACTGTGCTTTGGAGGATACTGCTCTGTCAGCACTGATCACACAGTAATAATACCGTCTCAGTAGGGGATGAACTGTGGATTGGGATCAATAGCCTTTCAGTAAATATTTGAGATAGTGAATGAACAAAGTGTAAGTGTCTGTAGTGCCATAAAACAATATGAGGGTTGTCATGCTTTATAATCCCACAGAACTTCTTCAAAGCAGTTATGTATTTTTCTTGTATTGTAAATACTCTTTGAATAATATGCTAACATGTGGTGCCTCGCTCAGAAGAGGTGGTTATAAATTTTGTAGAATGACTAATGCTTGGAGTGTTGTTTATCTTTTTGCTGAGGAGTTTAGAATTTTCACATAAAGTTGCAAATATGTAGAATAAGTCACAACAGAGCTTCAAGCAATGATTTCTCTGTGAATGGGCTAACATATTTTAGTTTATTGGAAAAACCAAAGAAAAAGTAATGATGCAACATAAGCATAATAAACTTGCAAGAAGGGTTAAACATGTTGGGTATATTGAAAAGACTTCTTGGTCCTTGTAGCTTCACATCCATGGAACCAGTGCTTGTATGTGTAGGTCCTCTCTGCTTCAGTTCTTGGTCTTCCATTTCTTTGTTCTCCCCATAAGGCAATGACCCACTTGAGGGACTCAAGATACTCTATCTCTTTTAATATCTTCCTGTCAAAACAGGAGAAAATTAGACTTTTTAGCTATTTATACTCATTGTAAGAGATAGTGGTTTTCAGTTAGTAATGTATGAGTTTCTGTCCATTATTGAGCCATAATTCATTGACCTTGGTATAGGAAATTTACCAAGTGGTAGGGAGATTGATTTGTATACTCATTTATTTCTGTGGAGATGATTCTGAGGGCCTTCTGGGATCATTAAGTCATATATCCATGACTTTCCCTGCTTACAGGAGGCCAGTGTACTCCCACGCCTCCCAGGCAAAGGGTGGAGGGGAGGCGTACTTGCCTGTGGTTCTGCAAGCCTGCTCCTGGGAATTTCCAGGATGGAGAAGACACTGTCCAGTGTTAGCAGCTTCAAGCTCAGGAGCCGCTCAGCTCTGCATTCCTTCACAGAGTCTCTGAAGGGTGCCACTCCACCATCTCTTCTCCCTGTTTGTTCTCCCAGGTTCATGACCTTCCATTTCTCCTCTTCTATCCCGAGTTCAACTCCTCTCATTCTCTGTCTTCACTTCAAGTTGCTGAATATGTTCCCCCACACCAACCCTTCTAGCATGTTTAATTTATTTCAACCTTTTATTTTGACATTTACCTTCACCCAGTGGTCTGTATAATGAATGTGTTTATGTTTTTCCCATGAGAATGAAGAAGATTCTTAGAAAGAAGCATCTTAGTCGAAGGTGTCTCTTTCTTCAAGGTGTTTTTATTTATACTGAAGTTAGCATCATATGAGTAACTATGGCTATGTTCGCAATTATGTTGACATTTCAGGCATTTATTTAGCTGCCTAGAAAACTACATCTGTGCATAGAAATGATTTTGAATGCATGACTGTTCTTGTAAACGGAAGCGCTGTAAAGATAGGATGCATTAAATGACCTTAAGATGGCCTCGTGGCTTTGTTTTTTTTTTTTTTTTTTTTTTTTTTGGAAAGGCGGATATACAGAGAGGAGAGACAGAGAGGAAGATCTTCCATCTGATGCTTCACTCCCCAAGTGAGCGCAACGGCCGATGCTATGCCGATCCGAAGCCAGGAGCCTCTTCCAGGTCTCCCATGCGGGTGCAGGGTCCCAAGGCTTTGGGCCGTCCTCAACTGCTTTCCCAGGCCACAGGCAGGGAGCTGGAAGGGAAGCGGGGCTGCCGGGATTAGAACCGGCGCCCATATGGGATCCTGGGCGTGCAAGGCGAGGACCTTAACCACTGCGCCACTAGTGATCCCACTATTCCTAGTGAAGACGTGTTCTCTGTTGTTTGTTATAAGTAAGGTAGACATTAGTCCCTGGCAGAGAGGCTTGCACTGTGGTTGAACAGATACTAAATGTGGTAGCTGTGTGTGCTTGCTTGGTCACAGGAGTGACTCAGAGGGTGAGTGTTGAGACTTTGAGAGAAAAGTGGTCAACTCTATGGGGTGGTGGGAAAGACTTCATGGAGTAGGTCGGGTTTGTACTAGGGAAGCTTTAGTGTAGTTTGAAGTGAAAAAGAGGGCAGGGAGTTGGATGCGAGTATGTATGGGGTACTTGGGAATAAGAAGAGAACAAGTTTGTTGCAATAAAGATTCCAAAGATAAAGTCATTCTGTAAAGTAGGATCATGTTGTATGAGGCTGTGAGTCCTGGGCCGAGAAATTATCCGAAGGCAGCCAGGTAAGATCGAACAATTTTAAGCAATGAAAGAATATGTGACACATGAGACTTTGTTTTAAACAAAATATTTATGTGTTTATGTGAAAGAGTTACAGGGAACGAGGGAGAGAGAGAGAGGAGAGAGAGAAATCCCCTATCTTTGGTTCATTCCCCAGATGACTACCAATGGCTGGTGTAGATCTAAGTCAAATCCAGGACCCAAGAGCTTCATCTACATCTTTGATGTGGGCAGCAGGGCCCAAGGACCTGTACTATCCTCCACTGCTTCCTCAGGGCGTTAGCAGAGAGTTGGATTGGAAGTAGAAAAGACAAGACATGAACCAGCACCCACATGGGATGCTGGTGCAGATGGAAGTTTTACACCACAACACCAGTCCTGAGACATGTTAAGACAGGACAATTAGGAAGAGGAGAGAGAATTTAAACAGCACAGGTATGCAATGAAGAGATCTGAACTTCTGTTGCTTAAGGTGGGCACAGAGAAGAAAAAGATTAATTAGTTGATATTTAAGAATTAATCTAGCATTTATTTGTCAATTGTATTGTGATTAAGAAGATTTCATGCCTGAGGACCTGGGAAAGTCAAAATATTTTTTAGCCCAGAAGGTGGGTTTGAAAGATGGGCTGATTTTTAAGCATCCTGTTTCAGGTGATGGAAGGATCTGACAGGTAGTTGAAGAAGGAAGAGGCTGATGCTGTGTCTCAAGTGGAGGAGACATGCTTTTCTGCAGGATTGTCATGAGTTACATTCATGACAGTGGATAAGAGAAGATGCACAGATTGGAGACATAAGGGGTTAGAGAAGGGGAGAGGAGCCTTGGAATATCCAAGGAGGATGCAAAATGAGAGGAGAAACCTGGGTTTTCAGGTACTTGAAAATCCAAAGTACTGTTTGAGTGAAACAGTTGGAGTTGGAATTCAGAGTATACCAGTGTTATGAATTTAGTAGTAATCGAACAGATCCTATCCAGTATCAGGGGCCCAATACATCTGGAGCTATCTGTTCCATTTTGCCATTAATTTAGAGCTCCTTCCCAATCCTTCATGACCCTGATCTGAGAAATAGAAATCTCTTTAGGGGGCCTGGAGCGATAGTGTAGTGGTTCAAGTCCTCACATTGAACACACTGGGATCCCATATGGGTACCAGTTCTAATCCCAGTGGCCCCAATTCTCATCCGACTCCCTTCTGGTGGCCTGGGAAAGCAGTTGAGAATGGCCCAAAGCTTTGGGACCTTGCACCTGTGTGGGAGACCACGAAGAAGCTCTGGGCTCTGGGCTTCAGATTGGTCTAGCTCCAGCCATTGCGGCTGCCTGGGGAGTGAACCATCGAACGGAAGATCTTCCTCTGTCTCGCCTCCTCTCTGTATATATCTGTCTTTCCAATAAAAATAAATAAATCTTAAAAAAAAAGTGAAGAAATGACGCTTGTTGGTTCTTTCCTTGCCTGCTTTTCAGTACTGTTACTGAAATGCTATGTCAATGAGATAAGAAGAATTGAAACTAACTACTGCTCAACAATTTCGTTGTAAGAGACTGGTTAGAATAACGGGCGAGCATTAGTAATGTGATAGCGTTAGCTATTTGGATTACTATGAATTAGATCTGTTACATTGTGGATCTTTGTCCCAAATGTGATTAGAATTTGATTGTTAAGTATAATGAAACTGAAAAGGAATTTTGATGTTACTGAACATTATACTTCTAAGTACAACATTAAATTTCTTTTTTTTTTTACTTTTAAGGAGTTTATTAGTACATTAGATCATCAGAGTCACAGTAAATGCTTGATAATTACTAAAATATGATTCCCATTAAGTTTTATGTTAATGACATTAATATGGAGAATGAAGTGCTACATTTTTGTTTATTTTTTATATCTCAGTTTCTATGCAGATTTTGGACCTCTGAACTTGGCAATGGTGTACAGATACTGCTGTAAACTAAACAAGAAGCTAAAGGTGAGTATTGAAGTGATGTTATTAAAAGGTTTGAACTGAGAAATCTGTCCATTGGGATTGCTGTGCACACACCATGTAGTCAGGTGATCTTGAACTTTGGAAATTTATGTGAGTTAGTTCATTGGGAGTTGAAACTGATCCTTTTGATTATACCACAAAGGAGATGTTAACCTCTTTCATTTTTCAGGATGAGTTGCAATTTGAGCTGGCTGAAGTCACTGGAATCTAAGAAAGAAAAACCCAATCCTTTTAGGTTATTGTTGATGAGTCTCTATCAGATTCCCTCTAAGGATAATTTTTCTGAAACCTTTTCTGCTCTGCTTGTGGACACTGTTCCAGGTGGTGAAAGGACTCCTCGGTGCTGGACCTCGGGGGCATAATGCTGATCTGTCTGGTCAGGAGGGAAATGATGGTGCTCTTTTTGTTTATTATTTTTTTTTATCATCTCTGTAGAGTTAATAGGCAAGTAAAACTGATGGAGTGGCAGTAATAGAGCATGACCTTAGCTGATATGACAGAATTCAAGTCAGATATTCCATACATTTTTTATATTTACATAAAGATCAGGTTTCATTTTCTCTTATTCCATAATTTCTTGAAGGATTGGATTTTCTCTTAAATTTTAAGCATATGAGGGAAGTTAACATGTGTAATCCTAATTTTGTAAGCTTATTTCATCATGTAGAAAGCAATATTTACCTATGGTTTGGTTTTGTTTTTTGTTTTACAATAACTAAATGAAGACTTTAGGCATTTCAGTTTGGGAGGTAAAAGGCTACATAGCATACCCTTTAAGACAGTCATCGAATTCTATTGGGCAGGTATTTTATTCTTTCTTTTAGGTTAAATAATATTGGTTTTACAAAATGTATATTAACTTATATGTATTAACTACTCAGTGATTTTTCTTTTGGTGTTTTTAATTGAACGTAGATATACAAAATAGTCTGGTGGGCAATTTCTGGTATGATATGTTGTATATTTGTGAAGTTACAGTTTTTGGTTATTTATCTCAAAGCACTAAATTGTCATGGGATGATACCAAAGGGATTTTTAAGTCAATAATCATATAACAAATGATGTGTTGCACTTAACTTTCCTAGGAATTGTAAATACTATGTGTTTTGAAGGATATATAACTAAAGCAGATCTATGTTTTCAGGAGACAGTCTACTGTCTGTTGCTTAGCAAACACGGTTTTGTAATCATATAAGAAGTAAATATCATTTTTATACAGAATTAACTTTTTAAAAATTAATTTTTATTTGAAATGTGGATTTGCAGAGATTGAGAGAGAGAGAGAGAGGCACAGAGAGAGATCTTCCATCTGCTGATTCACTGCCCAAATGGTCACAACAACTGGAACTGGGCTGTCTGAAGCCAGAACTGGGAACTTCATCTAGGTCTCCTGCATGGTGCAGGGGCAAAAGGACTTGGTCCATCCTTACTGCTCTCCCAAGCCGTTAGCAAGGATCTGGATGGGAGCATAGCAGCTGGGACTCTTAACTGGTGTCAATTTGGGATGTTGGAACTGCAGGTAGAGAGGTTAACCCTACTACCATAATTCTATCTCCTATAACATGCATTTTAATGGTTGCATTAGCAAGGAAAGGGAAATTAATAAATGGTTGAAATTAATTTCTAACATCTGAGGGCCTATGAATTTTTTTTGCTTTCTTGATTAGTCAGTTGGTATGTAGTTGTTGCAACCTAGTTATTATAATTACCAGCCTGGTTGAATCCTGTCTGGACTCAGGGCCCTGCGCGATAGTGTAGTGGTTAAAAGTCCTTGCCTCGCACGCACCGGGATCCCATGTGGTCACAGTTCTAATCCCAGCGGTCCTGCTTCCCATCCAGCTCCCTGCTTGTGGCCTGGGAAAGCAGTCAAGAAAGGCCTAAAGCCTTGGGACCCTGCACCCACATGGGAGACCTGGAAGAGCTCCTGGCTCCTGGATTCAGATTGGTGCAACACTGGCCGTTTTGGTCACTTGGGGAGTGAACCATCGGACAGAAGATCTTCCTCTCTGTCTCTCTTTCTCTCTGTTTATCCACCTTTCCAATAAAAATAAATAAATCTTAAAAAAAAGAAAGGAATCATTAGGAGGAAGAAACCACTGATCTGATTCAATGTTTTACTTATAATAACTGCATAGGAATAGATGAGTTGACTTAAGACTGATGTTTTCTATTATTTCTTTCTTATTGTATGCTGCTCTATAAAGGGAAATAGATATGAAAATTTGTTTAAATTCAATTTAACTTATGATGCATTCTTTCAACATTATGCAAACTTAATGAAGTCCAGAAAATCCTGTTAGTCCTCAAGGAATCTGTTGGATACCTGGAATGACATTTTTAGTTTTAGACCAGTTAGAAGACACTTTGGTAATTGCTTGAAGGATTGAATTTCCAAAACCTAAATGTTAATTTAGTATGCATAATCTAAATAAAGCATGTCCAGTAGAATCTCTCTGCTAGTGGAAAAAGGATTTAGATTGCTAATCCAAAATTACAATTTCTTCAGTCTTATGGAAACTCATTTCCTCAGTTGTGGAATAGGAATTACAGGATGCCTATGCCTTCTCTGAAATGCTAGGGACAGAATTGCTTCCGATTTCAGATTGGGGAATATTTGCATATATTCAAGGAGCTGTCTTGAAAATGGGACTTGATTTCTGACACGAATTTACTTATGTTCGTATATACCTGATGTGCCTATTCAGGACAAAGTTTCATACAGTATTTTTAGAGTGCCTGTATTTTAACTGTATCATTAGGTGAAGTCAGGTATGAAATTTTCAGTTTGTGATGTGTTCTTTGATCCAAAAGTTTTGAATTTTGAAGCGTTTTGGATTTTGGGTTAGAGATGGTCAATCTGTGTAGAGTTCTTATAGGGTGATAATTAGGATTATTTTAGAAATATATATGAAAGAATATATTCTGTTAAGACCCTAACAGAATAAGGTCAGTAATGTCACATTGTGAATTCTTATAGGAAATCTAATAAAGACTTTCTTGAAATTTACGGATTCCCTCTTTGTAGTGTTAAAGCAGATGGGGAAGTCTACTATGCTTTTAGGAATGTAAGTGACCTTTTAGTGAACACTGGAAGGGAGACATGGGAGAGACATGTGACTTGTCCAAGGCTGTCAGGTGAAGTTTTTGCTATCTCTTCTGGCTCTTGACTGTGTCATTTCCTCCCTTTTTTGGTGTCATCCCAACTTCTGACTGCCAGATGTCTAGGCTCACTCTCAGCCTCATCTCGACCACTTCCCCTTATTGTGTCACAGTGGCTTTGAGGCTCTTCTGCCTCATCCACTCCGGTGACCATTGCTGCTGCTCTGGCTGTGCAGCTTCAGTGGGGCAGACGCAGGCTTTCCTACTTGAAGTGTATGCCCTTCCTATGTCACCTTGCTACACAACATTCTCTCTTTTGTGGGGATCTCTAAACTGACCCTTCACCATCCCCTTCCCACCATTTGTTAGGTCCATGGGCATTCTGCTGATGTCTGTTGCCTCTACCCTATGGTTATTTTCATAAGTTCCCAGCATCTTGCCTTGTTTTTTTTTTTTTGCCTTGCCTTGCCAGTTTATCCCTGTTGCCTTCCCCAGTAATTTCCTGGGGAACACTGCAGCTCAGCTAGACCCAGCCTTGCCTTTTACTGTGTTCCACATGAATTACTATTCCATGCATTTGCTAGTCACACTCAATTTGAATAGAATGTATTTTTCCCTCTGGCTTAATGATTCCTTGTTCCCTAAAATTTTATTCTGACTCCACAAAGAAGCATCTCCTTGCCTTTTTGATTGGCTTGAAGGTGTCCTCTTTGTTTTTCTATAATTGTCTATGCTGATCGCTATTGTTGATGAGTTATAATTACCTGTGCACACCTGTCTTACTTGCTTGACTATGGAAGATCCTATAGGATGGAGAGCCTTGCCAGGTTATCTCTGTGTATTCCCAGTGCCCAGCACAATCACCAAATACAACCAAAGTTCTGTTGACCTTGCTAGAATGCCCTTGATTTGCAGGTCCATTTTTATCACCTCACCGGTGTCAGGTAGCTTGCTCTCAGCATGTTCACATGTTGGCTATTAGCTGATTTCTCAATCCTGTGCTAGCCTTTGTCTTCCCTACACTACGGAAAGCGCTCTAGTGGTCCTAAGCAGAACCTGGTGGTCTTTGCTTGGTCCTCAAGATTCTTCTCAGTAATTTGGCATTTTTGCAACCACTAAATTCACCTTAGAATTATTATCCTGTGTGATTTCATAATTCCTTTAGGCACATTTTCGTTTTCTAGTTTGAACATTTTTACTCCCAGTAAGGCTTTTATTATTTTTCTCCTTGGTTCCATCTCTTATGAAGATAGGTAACATTTTGCTGTGCATCCTATCCGATACCCAAATGTCTAATTTTTTATATGTTTAAGGTATTTTTCCATGTAGCTGATTTGAGGTGGTGACTTACTGCTGTTTTTTTCTATGTCCATATACACTCTATTACCAACAGCCTTAGATGTAATTGTGTTGATTACAGTGCAAAATTACCAATCAGATAATCTGCTCAGATAAAATATCCAGAAATGAAATCCACCATCACCAACAAATCCCTGATCATTGTTTTCAATATATTCTAAGATGTAAGTGTCAAAGAACTAGGTGGCTGTTTTGCTACTTCCGGTCTGTAGTTTCTATGATGGGGAAACAGTTAAGAAAGAGATTCATTAAAGTGTGAGCAATTTGTGAAATTGTATGTTTTAAAATGGAAAAAGTGATCAGTGCTCATTAATCTAGAGCGGAAATTGTTAGTAATGTGCTTCGCGGGCTCATAAACCCTTGAAAGTAGGTGTAAAGGTTTGTGGTTTTCACATTTTCCTTCAGAATAGACATATGGCTTTTTGTTGTTAAAAAGGTTTATTTAATTTACTTGAAAGGTAGAGTTACAGATAGAAGGAGAAACAGAGAGAGTGAGAGATCTTCTATCTGCTGATTCACTCTCC